AAAAGGTTATAGATAGGTCAAAGTTTGTGGGTGATGGTCTGGCAGATGGACTACAGTGTTGGTAAATGTGAGGTCATCCATTTTGGTAGGAATAACAGCAAAATGGACTATTACTTAAATGGTGAAAAATTGCAGCATGCTGCTCTGCAGAGGGACCTGGTCGTCCTTGCGCATGAATCACAAAAAGTTGGTTTGCAGGTACAGCAGGTAATTAAGAAGGAAAATGGAATATTGTCTTTAATTGCGAGAGGGATGGAGTTTGAAAACAGGGAGATTATGCTGCAGCTATATAGGGTGTTGGTGAGGTCACACTTGGAGTACTGCGTGCAGTTTTGATTTCCTTACTTGAGGAAGGATGTACTCACACTGGAGAGGGTGCAGAGGAGTTTCATTAGGTTGAATCCTGAGTTGAGAAGGTTAGCTTATGAGGAGGGATTGAGTAGACTGGCTCTATACTCATTGGAATTTAAAAGAATGGGGGAGAATTTTATAGAAACATATGAAATTATGAAGGGAATAGGTAAGATAGAAGCAAGGAGACTGCTTCCACTGGCGGGTGAAACTAGAACTAGGGGGGAGAGCCTAAAAATAAGGGAGAGCAGATTTAGGACCAAGCTGGGCAGGAACTTCTTTACCCAAAGGATTGTGAATCTCTGGAATTCCCTGCCCAATGAAGCAGTTGAGGTCACCTTGTTGAATGATTTTAAGGCAAAGATAGATTTTTGAACAGTAAAGGAATTAAGGGTTATGGTGAGCAGGTGGGTGTGTAGAGCTGAGTCCACAAAAAGATCAGCCATGATTTTATTGAATGGTGGAGCAGGCTTTAGGGGCCAGATGGCCTACTCCTGCTGGAATTTTTTTTAATGCTCTTAAGCCAGGGGAAAACAATAAATGGTTTAACATAAGCAACTATCCACTGTGATGGAACAGTTGGGGCTACACTGTTGCATAATAATTCAGGATCTGCAAACTACAAACTATTAATTCACTTTTTTATTTCACATGATAAAATGAAGTTGACTAACTGACTTCAATTTTGAAAAATGGAACCAATAGAAAGCATTTCTTAGGTTGTGCAAAATCAAAATTTATTTTTGGATAATAATTTACAGTTTTGATACAGAGATTGGATGAAAGGGAATTTATTCCAAAATTACTACTGTTCTGAGGAAGTGTCACTGGACCCAAAATGTTAACTCTAATTTTTCTTCACAGATGCTGCCAGACCTGCTGAGGTTTCCCAACAACTTCTGTTTTTGTTACTGTCTGATTCAGTCCAGGTTTACCGTTTTTGTATATCTGAAATGAGACCAATGTGCTTTTTCTTTATTTATTCATGGAATAAGGGCGTCACTGGCTAGGCCAATATTTATTGTCCATCCCTAGTTGCCCAGAGAGCAGTTAAGAGTCAACCACATTCTTGCAGGTCTGGAGTCACATGTAAGTCAGACAAGGTAAGGATGGCAATTTCCTTCCTTAGTGAACCAGATGGGTTATTCCCTAATAATTGACAATGGATTCATCATCAAATCATTCGACTTTTAATTTCAGATTTTTATTGAATTCAAATTCCATGACCTGCCAATGGCAGGATTCAAATCCAGATTGCCAGAACATTACCTGGGTCTCTGGATTAACAGCCCAGTGATAATACCATTAGGTCATCACCTGTGATCTTTTAAATTAACTGTTCAGGGATATTATGACAAATCTTTGGAATTGGTGGGACTTAAATGTGGATCTTCTGGCCCAGAGGTAGAGACACTACCACTGCACCACAAAAGCCCTACTTAAGTCTACTGCACCTGATATTCCCAGGTAGTCTTCTATCCAAGTGCTAACCAGGCCTGAGTCTGCTTAGCTTCCAAGATCAGAAGATTGAGTGTTTTCAGACTAGTAGTATAAGATGCTTTGCTTTTAAAGTGCCTTTTTTAAAATACAATGTTTACAGCTTTTTACAATGTTTTTTCCACAATTTCCAAATTGCTAATATGATTTTAGAAAAAATTGAGCATTTTTTTTTGCTCCTTTAGTTTGTTTTAACATGCCTCACACAGAATATCTAATAGTTGAAAAGATTGAGGATGAAAAGCAAACTTTCTGATTTGATTTATTATTGTCACATGTAGATACAGTGAAAAGTTTTGTTTTGCATGTAGTATAGGCAGATCATACCATTCAAAGTGCATAACGGTAAAAGAACAGAGTGAAGAATACAATGTTACAGCTGCAGAGAAGGTGCACAAAGAGCAAGATCAACATTAAATTTAAAATTTGAGAGGTCCATTCAGAAGCCTAATAACAGAAAGGAAGAAGACATTCTTGAAACTGTTGGTACGTGTGTTTAAGCTTTTGCATCCTCTGCCCGATGGAAGAAATTATAACCAGGTTGGGAGGGGTCTTTGGTTGCCTTCCTGAGACAGCGAGAAGTATAGATGGAGTCAGTGGATGGACAGTTGACTTGCATGATGGACTGGGCTGTGTTCACAACTCTCTGTACTTTCTTATGATCCTGGGCAGAGCAGTTGCCATACCAAGCAGTGATACATCTATTAAAGTTGGCTAGAGTTTTTCCAGACATGCTGAATTTCCTTAGTCTCCTGAGGAAGTAGAGGCATTGTTGTGCTTTCTTGACTGTGGGTGGACCAGGCCAGATTGCTGATGATCTTCACTCCCAGGAACTTGATGTTCTCGACTGCCTCCATCTCAGCACAACTGATGAAGGCAGGGCTTGCCCTCTGCCTTGCTTCCTGAAGTCAATCACCAGCTCTTTTATTTTGCTGACATTAGGAAGAAGAATTTGTTATCTTTACACCATGCCCCCAAGCACTCTATCTCTTTCCTGTATTCTGTCTCATTATTGTTCGAGATTTGGCCTACAATCGTGGTATCATCAGTGAACTTGTAGATGGCGTTAGGATGAAATTTGGTCACAGTCATGAGTGTACAGGGAGTATAGTAAGGGACTGAGTACGCAGTGTTGAGGATTATTGTGGAGAAGGTATTGTTGCTTATTCTCACTGATTGCAGTCTGTGGGTGAGGAAGTCAAGTATCCAGTTGCAGAGGGCAGAGCAGAGACCTAGGTCTTGGAGTTTGGAGATTAGTTTGGTTGGTAAGATTTCTATACAGTTACTTGCCATTGATCAAGAAGTTTCTTAGCTTCATCTGAAATAGCAGTAAACCATACTTTTCTCTTATCTACAGAAATAGCACAATCAAGCTCAGCTGCAACTCACTGCAAAATAACCATTACCTTCAATGAGTATAATTGGTTAATTCCTGGCTAACGTACTGCTTGATCAAGTATTAGCTGATGTCTTTGCATACAAAGTTAGAACTTATACCATTCAATAAGAAAGGTGAAACTTATTCAATGGTACTACATGCACTGCAATTCCAAAATTACAATAAGTCATTAGGGGTGCTATTTTTCAACCTAGAGTCCTCCTTAGGCACTGTAAGTGGTCACAGAATAGAATCATAGAATCCCTACAGTGTGGAACAGGCCCTTCAGCCCAACAAGTCCACACCAACCCACAGAGCATCCCACCCAGACTCATTCACCTATAAACCCACCTAATCAACACATCCCCCAAACATTATGGGCAATTTAGCATAGCCAATTCACCTAGCCTGCATATCTTTGGACTGTGGGAGGAAACCGGAGCACCCAGAGGAAACCCATGCAGACACGGGGAGAAGGGCAACTGTCTGTGTGGAGTTTGCACAAAGGATGGATTTGAACCCGGGTCCCTGGAGCTGTGAGGCAGCAGTGCTAACCACTGTGCTGCCCCTTTTTGCGTCATGTTTTGTCTAAAGCAGTTTGATAGGTGAAAAAAAAATTGGTGTATGCATGACCGGGACCAATTAGCTCATAGCTTGTGTATGGTTCAGAATAACAGCAGCAGCATTGGTTCAATTCCTGTTCTGGCTTAGTTAGACTTGGGACCTATCCCATGCTTAATGCAAAGTGGTACTCCTCAAACTGTATTACTAATTGTATGTCTCTAATTGCGTACAGTGGCTAAGTATCTGCTTAATGTAGTGGTATGCTTTCAGTTTTAAACATTGCTATGTTTGCTATATTTGAAAATAATCTTAGCTTATGGAAGGGCTTGGCATGTAACAAAAAATGTGGAATAGAATAATGAACAACATTTTATATATACTATCTTGGAGCTGTCTGCTTAGTTAATGGGTTTGCTGTGTGTATTTACTTTCCTTAAGTTCACGGAAGTATATCATGTGTTCTCTATTGCTGTTTCCATGTCCTTCAGATATTATGTATTTTTATAGAGTCATTCAGAATGGAAACAGACCTTTCGGTTCAACCAGTCTGTGCCAAATATAATCCCGAACTAAACTAGTCCCAACTGCCTGCTCCTGGCCTATATCTCTCCAAACCTTTACTATTCATGCAGCTATCCAAATGTATTTTGAAAACTGTAATTGTACCTGGATCCACCACTTCCTCAGGAAGTTTATTCCACATGCGAATTACCCTATGCGTAAAAAACAAAAAAAAATTGCCTCTCATGTCTTCCTTTAAATTTCTCTCCTCTTAACTTAGAATGTGCTCCCTAGCCTTGAAATCCCTTATCCTAGGGAAGAGGCAACTACTATTAACTCTATCTACAAGATCCCCTGCAGAGACTGTGAGAAACACTACATTGGACAAATAGGAAGGAAACTAACAACAAGAGTACATGAACAGCAAGTGGCTATAAAAAGACACGACCAATACTCACTCATCTCAATCCACATGGACAAGGAGAACCACTACTTCGACTGGGACAACACCAAGATCCTGGGACAGGCTAGGCAGAGACAGGCACAAGAATTCCTAGAAGCACGGCACTCCACGAAGCAGGCTATTAATAAACACATTGAACTTGACCCCATATACATTCCACTACGAAGGAAACCCGGAAGTGAGGCAATCCATCTCGACGGACCCCAGAGTTTAAAAACCAGGTGGGAAAACACACCGACGCTTCATCGGAGGCTGCACTGAGGATGTTACCAAGCATGGTAACGAAACGTCTGCGAAACAAGAAACCAGCTCGACGAGCCAACCAACTTCAACAACCTCAATATTTGTCTGTGTTTCCATTGAGAAACCTATTTAAAGTTAGAGGCACATTTCAGGCACCATCAGTTTTGGGGAATATCTCTGGTTAGGTCAGCACTATAGGTCACGAAGAAGAGGGACAGACATGCCTGGAGATAAGAAAGGATTAAAAAACAAAATTAAAATCCTGCGAATATGATAAACAGTATACACTGGTATCCCACATATCAATGAAATTTTAATTTGATTTTACAATTGAGAACTGACATCAGTTAGGGATTGAAGTATCAATTAGTTTTGGAATGAGTGACCATGATAGGCCAATGCCTGATTAAGTGGACAAGCATTGTAAACCTATGAATAAAAGTAAGTTTTGAGAAACTCATGAAGAGAATCAATTCACTTTAAGCAGTCAAAGCTGTATGAGAATACAGCTAATCTGTTTTTAATAGAACCAGTAACTGGCAACTAAACTTGTTTTCTGATGTAAGGAGCATCAGAGATGTTATCAGTGGGAATATAACGACTTATTTGTGGCAGAATTGAGATCAGTTCTTTAGTCAAACATTACATTTGATTAGTCATTTGAAAACAATTTTAACATCACCAGACAAGTTTAAACGTGTAATGGAAACATATTGGTACCTGTTTCTGAAACAGATAAGCAAGCAGTTAGTTAGCAGTAAAACTCTGAATAATTTAAGAAAAAATACACCTGCTTAGTTGTGGCAAATGCAAAATATTACCTTAACTTTATTTCTTTCAATAGCTAAATTGTATTTTAAGAAGGCACAAATGTTGGCAATAGTTTGACCTTGGCAAGGATTAATACTCTAGTTGTACTTAACTATAAGTGACAGTCAAAACCTATGACTATTCAGCTTTATAAACAATACTTGAAATATGTTCACAATCACAACAAATTACTGTAACTTCTGCTATGTTGCAGAGTGGCCTTAAATGACAGCAGTGTGCAACCATTATACCACTGGAATTAATCTGATCAGGCAATGGCCCAAGTGTGGTACACAATCCACAACTGAAATATGACACATTGAATAAAAGCATGATTCTTGCTGCAAAAATACATTTTATCAATTAAAGTTTTAATTTCAAAACTAATTACAACCAAAATTTAGAGCATTCAACTATAAAATGAAGACATCATATAGAAACATGGTTAGAGCTACTTTGTATATTTTGAAATGTGAAGTTAATATGAATTCATCTATTGTTTGATTGTTAGAAGCATATTTAAAGTTTGAACTCAAACTGTGGATGCAAAGATCAGTGTCAATAGCTAATGCACTGAAGCAACTTCAATCATTCCTGCACCATATTTCAAGTGTCTGGCAGGAAGAATAACAAAGTGTCACATTTCTGCTGAGACTGTTTGTGTTTTTTTTCAGTGCAGTTCACCTGAAATCCAAAGAAGTTGTGTAATTTTAAGTGCAAATTATATTCAGAGCAACAAAGGCAGAATGCATTAACCAGCAATAGGATTATGACTAACTGCTCATTTTTTTGGCTTTTGAGGAGCTGCAAAAATTAAATCTGATGTTTTGGGTACAAGGACACTAATAAGATTTATTAATTAGCTAAAAATTAACTAATTAGCTTCATAAGATTGAGTTTTGTTTTATAATTTAGTGACCAATTGACTACTATAGTTTAATATAACTAAGAAATGGTTCTATGTATTGTGCTGACTCATGAAATAGTGGGGCTTGATTTCCAGTGTACTCTTCCCATAAGACTTGGGATAGTGATTATAAATCTTTTGCCTTAAATGTTACTTAATTCTTTAATCCAGCGATTTAAAAAAAAAAACAGGTTAATGACTCTCTCCTACACAACTGAAAGTTTTTGTGTAGCAAAACCTTGCAGCTCCATGACATGAATGAGGACACACAGCCTCACCAAGTGAATTAAAAACAGGAAATGGAGACAATAAGGACTGCAGATGCTGGAAGCCAGAGTCTATAGGTGTGAGGCTGGAAAAGCACAGCAGGTCAGACAGCATCCAAGAAGCAGGCAAGCCCTGACATTGGGTTTTGGCCCAAAACATTTGACTTTCCTGCTCCTTGGATGTCTGTCTGACCTGCTGTGCTTTTGCAGCCTCATACCTACACTCTTAAAAACAGGAAAGCTTGGAAGTATATAACAGAGCTGGTAAATACCTGTACTGAAGTGAGCCGATGTCATCTGAAAGCCAAGGAAGAGAGCAAAGACAAGAGAAAACACAATGAGGGCAGAGGTAATGGTCTAAATTTGATGCATGAATTCAATGTTGCATTCAGAAGGCTGTGAAGTGTCTAACTGAAAGATCACGTGCTGTTCTTGGAGCTTGTGTTGAGCTTCACTGGAATACTACAGGAAGCTAAGGATAGAGAACTCAGTATGACAGCAAAGTCAAAAATAACTGGAAGTTTAGGATTATACCTACAGACCCAAACTCTGGTCTTCCCACTTAAGAGCAGTTTATATTGTAACCAGCAAATGAGATAATTCTGGAATGCACTGAAATGGCTTCTTCAGAAATTTCTGAAGAAGGGTCCTGACCCGAAACGTCAACTTTGCAGCTGTTCTGATGATGCCTGGCCTGCTGTGTTCCTCCAATTCCATACTGTGTTGTCTCAGTTGAGGTGGAGTCTGAGACCTTAATATCCTCAGGTCACATGAATAATTAGACAACTGGTTGCTGGACAATGTCATTCGCATGCCTTCTGAGCTTAAGTTGTGTTGGGGATGGTAGCCTCTTCGCTATTGATGTTACATAAAACACAGCAATGCTATGTTAATATCTTCTTTTGTTGCTTGACACTTGATCGTTGATTTCATAATACATATCGTGCATCCTGATAGACCATTTACGGGAAAATAGTGGAGTGATGATATGCATCACTCCCCACTTAGCAGGCATGTCTTGAAACAGTTTGCTAGTGAACTACAGTCCTTTGCCACTATCCATTCTGAGTCACCAACTAAACAATCTTTGCAAACAGCCAAGATTGGTTAGTTTATAAAACTGCGTTTTAAGTGTTTTAAGAACTGAACTTAGAATAGAATCCCTACAGTGTGGAAACAGGTCCTTCGGCCTAACAAGTCCACACTGACCCTCAGAGCACCCCACCCAGATCCATTACCCTTTTCCATGTGACCCACCTACACACCCCTGAACACTATGGGCAATTTAGCATAACCAATCCACCTAGCCTGCACATCTTTGGATTGTGGTAAGAGACTGGAGTACCCAGAGGAAACCCATGCAGAATGGGGAGAATGTACAAACTCCACACAGACAGGCACCCAAGGTTGGAATCAAACCTGGGTCCCTGGCGCTGTGAGGCAGCAGTGCTAACCACTGTGCCACCATGCTGCCCACTACTTTTGGAAAAGCTTTGCATCTATGCTCAAGCAGTCTTTTGACTGCTATTTTAAAACATTTAAATCAGAAATCAAGTTGTCAGTTTGTTCTTTTAAATAGACCTTCTAGCTTGACAGAATTTATTTTTAGCAGAAATAATGTAGCTCTGTCTTCAGGTTGTTCAATTTACAGATCTCTACCTTCAGCCATTGGTCCTCCTTATTTCCTGAATGCTTTGAAGTCCACAGCTGTCATCTACCCGATATTCACCGAGGTGTAGCTCAGGAGTGACTAGGGATTTTCACAGCTATGACCCTCATAACAGACATCTTCACCTACTGGAACAAAGAGACAAGGTGGAAACTAGCTTTTAATTCTCATTCTTGTGTATTCTTGAAAGGGGAACATTCAAATATGTCTGAAGTTTGGGACATAATTCACAGGAAGTGCCACACTGCCAAAAGTAGGGTTAGTCAACCCCTCTATATCTGTAGACATAGGGAATTCACAGTTTTTTTTTTACGTGCCCATCTCCCTTTTGAAGCTTTGTTGCTTTAAGTGCCCTTAGCAGCTTCAGGTATGACATTCCAGTGTTCCTCTGTCAGTTACTGAATTTACACCTGCATTCATCTTTTGGTCATATGTCATTTAACAAGTACTTAGGGTTCTGATCTGTTGTCGTGACACTGAGACATACCACAATAGTCAGGATGTCATGTAACTGTCTTAAAGGTACATGGCTGTCTGGTCTGAAAACTATGTAGTAATACAGCATTCCCCAATTTCCATATAAAGAATGGAAACCCTTTTATGATAAAATGTAGAAGGATGCATATAAAAATTGTCTCTATTCATTCAGATAATGCTTTAGTGAAATTACATCACGACTAGATCAGGCTGTTATATTGTTATCACAATTTGGCAAAGTAGCTTCACTGTTGTGCTATTTGACTTTGCAGATGGATATGCATCATTCGTCATAGGTATTTGGTTGCTGTTTGGCAGGATAGCTTCAGTGTCTGAGTCATCAGGCTATATGATGTGTGGTTGATGATTTACAGTTCATATACTATATTTTTTTGGCAGGACTTGACCTTGCTTATTACAATGTCATAGGTCCACCTTGACTGAACACAACAGTGTAATATATTTCTACAAATCCATGTGTACACATGAAAATCTCAATTTCTGTATACTTTGTCCTGATTCAAGCTGGGACAATTGTCTGTATGCTCATTATCATGCTCTTGCACTATTCTGTCCCTTCTTTCCAACAATACATCATGCACACATGGTTGGATGGTCAAATTATGAAAGGGAACAACTGTGTGGATGTGTCTCCAAAACATGAGAGCTGCTGTGAAGAGTAAACCATTGCCTTGAGAAGTAGCAGACAGATTTAACAAAGATATCTGAAAACCTTGGCAAATCACTAAGTTAATGTTCATGATTTTCCAGTACAAGCAGTGTGTTCTGCAACACTGGCAAAGGGAAGAGGCAAGATGGTAAACATCCCAAAAGAGCTTTTTTTTTGCATATATCTTGAATGGGTGCACTGGTGGTGCACTGGTTTAGCATTATCATATACAACTTGCAAAGTCACTGAAGAAACTGAGTATGTGGTCAATGTGTCAATAGTCATGCACCCTCAATTTATCTTACAAAAAGGGAATTTGGTGAAATATCCTTGGAGATGGAAAATATTAGTATGGTTCAGAGAAATCACACATAGAGGAGTCATAAAGGTGTACATCATGGAAACAGACTCTTTAGTCCAACTCGTTCATAATGATCAGATATTCTAAATTAATCTACTCCAATTTGCCTGTGTCTGGTTATTATCCCTTTAAACCCTTCCTGTTCAAGTACAATGTCCAGATTTTCTTTTAAATGTTCTAATTGTACCGGCTTCCACCACCACCTCTGGCAGCTCATTCCATACACTCCCGCTGCATGAAAAAGTTCCCCATCTGTCCCTTTTAAATCTTGCCCCTCTCACCTTAAACCTATGCCCTCTAGTTTTGGGCTCACTCCCTCATCCTAGGGACTAGACCTTGGTTATTCACTCTATCCATGCCAATCATGATTTTATAAACCTGTATAACAGGTCATACCTCAGCCTCTGACACTTCAGGGATAATAGCCTCAGCCCATTCTGCCTCTCCCTGTAGCTCAAACCTTCTAACCCCAGCAACATCTTTGTAAATCTTTTCTGCACCCTCTCAAGTTTAACAACATCCTTCCTATACAGTGGAGACCAGAACTGAATGCAGCATTCCAAAAGTGGCCTAACCAATGTTTGATGCAGCCACACCATGACATCCCAACTCCTGTACCCAATGCACTGGCAAGTGTACCAAAAGCCTTCTTCACTACCTGAGACTCTGCTTTCAAGAAACTATGAATCTGCACCCCAAAGTCTCTTTGTTCTGGGAGAGATGGACATCTATGGTTGGGGAGGTGGAGGTTTGGTTTTTGGTGCAGAGGTGAATTGGTTGGATATCTATGCCAACTGGTTGGAGTGGTGGGGGAAGGAGGGTGGAGAGAGGTGGCTGTCTGTAACAAACATCCTGGTAGAGAGTTGGCCGAGGCCGAGAGTGAGGGTGGGTGGGGGGAAGTGGAAGAAGGTTGGTCATTGTGGGGTGAGGGGGTTCAGATGTCCAGGGCTGTGGGACTGAGTGTCCAGAGGAGTTGGAGGGGTCAGGGGTCAGTGAAAGTTGGGGATCCACTGGGAAGTCAGGGGAGGGAAATCATTGAGGCTCAGTTTACAGTTAGCCTGAAGTAAGAGCGATTTAATCCTCTACCTTTTCCTCACTGTCAACTAAGCTAAGTCAGAACCCTCCAAATTGTTCAACTCCAAAGCAGAGTTGGAGTCTTTAGCTTGGTGTTGGGAACATTCACAATTACACATTGGAAGTTTAAACTTCCTGGGTAAACTTACTGCATAGTAGGTGGATCAATGTCACTTTCAATATTGCGTGGAGCATCTTTCTTTGGTGGCTCTCACTCATGTCATTTCTTCAAACTACAAATCCTCTCTTGCCTCAACAATTACTATGCACTCACTGGGGCCACCTCACTTGCTTTCCTGATTGAGGGTGGATCAGGACCTATGAAATTAAAGCAATAAGAAATACAAACAGGGGTTGGCTCCACCATTCATTGGATCTTGGCTGATCCAACACATCCACTTCCCTGCCCTTTCCCCATACTGACCAACTGACTATCCATCTCAGCCTCAACCTCCACAGATCTCTATGAAGAGGAATTCCAAAGATTCAGCACTCAGAAGAAATTCTTCCTCATCTCAGTATTAAATTGGTGTCGATTGACGTGGCACAGTTCTGCACAGTAAAATGCCCATACTCCTTCACACCTCCCATCCCCAACATTCTGTCTCTGCTAGAAACCTGCAAGTTCTAAACGAAGTGGCAACCTGCGAGAAGACAAGGGAGAGATACTGTCCGCATCTTAATAAGTGAAAAATGAATCAGAACTTAGCTTGTTTTCTAAGAGCCTTAACGTCCACCCTGCTCTTTTACTCAAGATGGGCACCTATTCCTGCTCTTAAAAAGGTACCAGTGAGCTCTGTGCAGAAAGTGAAATATAGCACAGGTTACATCTATGATGTGGCATGATGGTTTTACAAAGACATTGCTTTGCTGATGCCAACCACTGTATATAGAGGGTGCACCTGCCTGTTATCATCGAATGTACCCTAAGATGTTGATGAATGCTGGCCAAAACAGATGCTTGGAGAAGATGCCAGCCAGCTGCTGCTGTCGGGTAATATTCTGACTTTTGAAGGTGGGAATTAGCAGCATCTAGTACCCAGGGAAATTGCAACCTGCATATAAAAGTGAGACAAGATTAGGCAATAATGGAATGTTAATACATGTAAGTGGACCCTTCACTGTTCACAAGCAAAATTCTCATCTAGCTGGTAAAACGTTGTGGAAAATCTGACTTTTTTTTCTTGATGTTGGGAATCTCTGCTTCATTTCTCACGATATACTTTCCTTTCTTGCTATTACCCACATTGTTCAGGGCTGAAAATTTCTGCCCTTGGTTCTGGTCTGTAGCTGACAATGAGGTTATACACAATATACACCATTGCTGAAATTTAGAGGTATAATTGGGGCCGGGGTTTGCGAATTCATAGAAACCTATATAATTCTAACAGGACTAGAGAGGTTAGATACAGGAAGAATGTTTCCGATGGTGGGAAAGTCCAGAACCAGGGAACACAGTTTAACGGTGAGGGGTAGGAGTTTTCGGACTGACAGGAGAAGAAATTTCTTCATGCAGACAGCAGTGAGTCAGTTGAATTCACTGCCACAGAAAGTTGTCGAAACCGAAACACTGTGTTTTCAAGAAGGAGGTAGTATACTCTTGCAGCTAAAGATCAAAGGATCTTGGGGGCCAGGGCGTGGGTGGCATTGGAGTATTGAGCTTGCACATCAGCTATGATCAAATTGAATGGTAGAGCAAACTCAAGGGGTTGAATATCCTACTTCTGCTCCTAATTTCTATGTTTCTGACTAGTACGATATAAAGTAACACATACACTGTCTTTCCCTTCAGTTATAGAATCATACAGCCATAGAGTACAGAAACAGGCCCTTTGGCCCAACTCATCTATGCTGACCATGTTTCCTAAACTGAACTAGTCCCTTTTGCCTACATTTGGCTCATATCCTCTAAATCTTTCTTATCAATGCACCTGTCCAAATGTCTTTTAAATGTTACAAGTGTACCTGCTTCTACCACTTCCTTTGGCAATTCATTCCATATATATACCACCCTCTGTGTGGAAAAAGTTGCCTCTTAAGTCCCTTCAATCTTTCCCCTCTAATCTTGCAACCTATGTCCTCAGGTTTTAGACTCCCTACCTTAGCTATGCACCTTATCTATGTCCTTCATAATTTTATTCTAAGATCACCCCTCAGCCTCCTACACTCAAGGAAGAAGTCCCAGCCTATCCAGCCTCTCCTTAGAATTCAAACCTTCTTGTCTCGGTAACATCCTTGCAAATCTTTTCTGCACCCTTTCCAGTTTAGTAACATCCTTCCTACAGCAGGACCAGAATTGTATGCAGTACTCCAAATATGGTCTTACTAATGTCTTGAACAGTTGTAACATGGCGTCCCAACTTCTACACTCAGTGTTCTGACTGATGAAGGCAAACATCCCAAATACCTTCATCACTCGGCCTACCTGTGACGCCACTTTCAAGGGTCTATGTACCTGCACCCTAGGTCTGTTTGACAACACTCCCTAGGGAGCTTCCATTAACTGTTTAAGTCCTGCCCTGGTTTGTCTGACCAAAATACAACACCTCGCATTTATCTGCGTTAAGCTCCATCTGCCAATTCTCTGCCCACTGGCCCATCTGATCAAGATCCAATTGTACTCCTAGATAACCATCTTCACTATCTACTGTATCATCAACTTTGATGTCATCTACAAACTTAGTAACCATACCTCATATTCTCACCCAAATCATTTATATAAAATGACAAAATAGTGGAACCAGCATTGATCCTTGTGGCACACCACTGGTCACAGGCCTCCAGTCTGAACAATAACACTCTACCGCCACCCTCTGTCTTCTACTTTCAAGCCAATTCTGCATTCAAACGGTTAGCTCTCCCTGGATCCATGTGATCTAACATTACTAGCCAGTCCACCACGTTTACCAGATTAACCTATCGGATTACCATTGGCTAATCAGAACTTTATCGAAGGCCTTGCTGAAGTCCATTTAGCCAATGTCTACTGC